TCCTTCGTCTCGTTTGCAGTGTTTTTAATTCGTCAATATGTAAAACCAACTTGCCCTATGATAGACTTAGTGCATGACAAGGTGATAAGGATTGTGTCCTATTTATTTGCAGCAATTTTATGTGTTGCTTGCCAATAAAATTCAGTTGAGAGTCAGCACTCTGTCTGTCTACGTCTCCTCTTGTCCTTCGTCTCGTTTGCAGTGTTTTTAATTCGTCAATATGTAAAACCAACTTGCCCTATGATAGACTTAGTGCATGACAAGGTGATAAGGATTGCGTCCTATTTATTTGCAGCAATTTTATGTGTTGCTTGCCAATAAAATTCAGTTGAGAGTCAGCACTCTGTCTGTCTACGTCTCCTCTTGTCCTTCATCTCGTTTGCAGTGTTTTTAATTCGTCAATATGTAAAACCAACTTGCCCTATGATAGACTTAGTGCATGACAAGGTGATAAAGATTGCATCCTATTTATTTGCAGCAATTTTATGTGTTGCTTGCCAATAAAATTGAGTTGAGAGTCAGCACTCTGTCTGTCTACGTCTCCTCTTGTCCTTCGTCTCGTTTGCAGTGTTTTTAATTCGTCAATATGTAAAACCAACTTGCCCTATGATAGACTTAGTGCATGACAAGGTGATAAGGATTGCGTCCTATTTATTTGCAGCAATTTTATGTGTTGCTTGCCAATAAAATTCAGTTGAGAGTCAGCACCCTGTCTGTCTACGTCTCCTCTTGTCCTTCATCTCGTTTGCAGTGTTTTTAATTCGTCAATATGTAAAACCAACTTGCCCTATGATAGACTTAGTGCATGACAAGGTGATAAGGATTGCGTCCTATTTATTTGCAGCAATTTTATGTGTTGCTTGCCAATAAAATTCAGTTGAGAGTCAGCACTCTGTCTGTCTACGTCTCCTCTTGTCTTTCGTCTCATTTGCAGTGTTTTTAATTCGTCAATATGTAAAACCAACTTGCCCTATGATAGACTTAGTGCATGACAAGGTGATAAAGATTGCGTCCTATTGATTTGCAGCAATTTTATGTGTTGCTTGCCAATAAAATTCAGTTGAGAGTCAGCACTCTGTCTGTCTACGTCTCCTCTTGTCCTTCGTCTCGTTTGCAGTGTTTTTAATTCGTCAATATGTAAAACCAACTTGCCCTATGATAGACTTAGTGCATGACAAGGTGATAAGGATTGCGTCCTATTTATTTGCAGCAATTTTATGTGTTGCTTGCCAATAAAATTCAGTTGAGAGTCAGCACTCTGTCTGTCTACGTCTCCTCTTGTCCTTCGTCTCGTTTGCAGTGTCTTTAATTTGTCAATATGTAAAACCAACTTGCCCTATGATAGACTTAGTGCATGACAAGGTGATAAGGATTGCGTCCTATTTATTTGCAGCAATTTTATGTGTTGCTTGCCAATAAAATTCAGTTGAGAGTCAGCACTCTGTCTGTCTACGTCTCCTCTTGTCCTTCGTCTCGTTTGCAGTGTTTTTAATTCGTCAATATGTAAAACCAACTTGCCCTATGATAGACTTAGTGCATGACAAGGTGATAAGGATTGCGTCCTATTTATTTGCAGCAATTTTATGTGTTGCTTGCCAATAAAATTCAGTTGAGAGTCAGCACCCTGTCTGTCTACGTCTCCTCTTGTCCTTCGTCTCGTTTGCAGTGTTTTTAATTCGTCAATATGTAAAACCAACTTGCCCTATGATAGACTTAGTGCATGACAAGGTGATAAGGATTGTGTCCTATTTATTTGCAGCAATTTTATGTGTTGCTTGCCAATAAAATTCAGTTGAGAGTCAGCACTCTGTCTGTCTACGTCTCCTCTTGTCCTTCGTCTCGTTTGCAGTGTTTTTAATTCGTCAATATGTAAAACCAACTTGCCCTATGATAGACTTAGTGCATGACAAGGTGATAAGGATTGCGTCCTATTTATTTGCAGCAATTTTATGTGTTGCTTGCCAATAAAATTCAGTTGAGAGTCAGCACTCTGTCTGTCTACGTCTCCTCTTGTCCTTCATCTCGTTTGCAGTGTTTTTAATTCGTCAATATGTAAAACCAACTTGCCCTATGATAGACTTAGTGCATGACAAGGTGATAAAGATTGCATCCTATTTATTTGCAGCAATTTTATGTGTTGCTTGCCAATAAAATTGAGTTGAGAGTCAGCACTCTGTCTGTCTACGTCTCCTCTTGTCCTTCGTCTCGTTTGCAGTGTTTTTAATTCGTCAATATGTAAAACCAACTTGCCCTATGATAGACTTAGTGCATGACAAGGTGATAAGGATTGCGTCCTATTTATTTGCAGCAATTTTATGTGTTGCTTGCCAATAAAATTCAGTTGAGAGTCAGCACTCTGTCTGTCTACGTCTCCTCTTGTCCTTCGTCTCGTTTGCAGTGTTTTTAATTCGTCAATATGTAAAACCAACTTGCCCAAGTCCTCACCCTACTACAAAATAATAGTGTGTTCCAGCGCTTTTGTTCACTATCTGCACACACGATATTGGTTCCCGTGACACCCAGGTTTGCATTGGGTTCATCGCACTATGAAGCATGAAACTGCTGCATCCATGGCCTGCGGTATCAGTTCCCGTGACAGGCGGGTTCGTACCAAATTCCCGCATGTTTGTTGCACCGTGGAAAGCGAATTTGCTGTGTCTGCAATCTGCAGTTTTAGTTCCTGGTTCATCTAGTTTGTAGAAAATCCCTCCCCCTTGTTTATCTCCGAGTTTTTAATTAATTTTTCTTTCACATCCACGAACATCTTCCACCCCATTTACCACTTTCACCATTTGTCTCGTCATTTTGGGTGGGTGATTTTACAGAATTTTATGGTAGGATTCGTACTGGAATATTTGGTTAGTTGCGAATATTCATATTATTTGAAAAAAGACTCGAGACTTATAGCGAGTTTGTTTCACACGCACTGGCACCATGTGAGTTCTCTCCCAGAATGCGTTGCACTCGCGGAGTGCCGCACGAAGAACCGGCCCCAAACGAACTTGCCAAATGCACAGAGTGCAGAAGACTGATGCAGTTGCCTTGTATGTTGTAGTGAGAGTACTGACCTCAACAGAAAATAGTGTTTCTGTTCGACATGATGGGTGGGAATGCGAGAGTGCAGTCAACGTTTATCTATAAGTGTTGGTCCCTGCAACATGTAGTTTACATTTGCAATGACTTCAAGCTACTCGGCCACTGTAGACATATTAACACACAGTGTAAGTTTCCGCAACCAGCTTACTACAAAACAGCTAAAACTGGTGATAATGTTCACACAAAAGCTTGATCCATTTTAATTAAGTATGGTATCGCGTGAACAAGGGGTTGAACTGGGCAAGTTGGTAAAAGTTCGACATGGTGGGTATGACAGCTTTAAAAAAAACGAGGATGATAAAAGGAACTGACAGGACAGGGCAACAGCTGTTACCCTGTCATGTCTGTTCCTTTCATCGTCCTCGTTTTTTTAAGCTGTTGCACCCACCATATTGCGTAAACCACTTAAAGTATACCGCTTCAAACTAGTCCATTGGAATACCCAGAAATATGTTTTCTGAGACTTCCGATTTCGATCGTCATACACAGGTGGATCAGATTTTAACACAGGTCAAGACGTCGAGAGCAAGAGCTTTCTGAAGCAAAATACGAAGTGGCAAGATAGTAGACATAGGCAAATGTTAAACGCTATGATTTTGCCCAAACCTCGGGTAAAGTCACCATGAGCTTTCCCGAATGCTGACTGGACATGTCACAGGTTTCTACTATGGGAGCTTTGTCGACAAATGTTAAACATTTCACCTTCACGCAGATGGTGAGAGAAATCTCGTGGCTGCTGATATTTGTCCCGATCCTTTCTTTACCCAGTGGTAGATTTCAGCATCTGTACGGCAGCAGAGCAATTCGAAACTTGCAGATAAAGCACCGGTTGTCGATTGCTTCCTTCATGAAATAGCAGACGTTCATAACTCAAGCTCGCGTTTGATTTTGCTGCCTGCGGGACGCAATTTCTAGCAGAAACTCTACTTTTTTCTTTCGGTTCCACGATGTGAACGATGCATTGTAGTAGACAAACCCCCGTCGTCTGCTTTCGCTCCTCGCCCGAGCGAGGCGCGAAAAGATTGCATTTTGGCGCACGCTTGATTTTCTCGGCGCAGCGAGTGCATGCACGCGTGGAGTGTCGGTGCCAAAATGAACTCCGAGAGTGCAGCCACTCGCGAAGTGCCGACTGAAATGAGCCCAGTCCACACTGCGACTGGGCACATGTGGGTACGAGTGGAGTGAAACAAACTCTCTATTAGTTTACAAATCAAATAAAAACAATTAATTTATATATTCGATTCAGGTTCGAAATTTCCTATATTTGCTCACCCCTACTCCGAATATTTAGAAAGCACCGAGTCATCCGAGGCACCATTCTCATCGATAAAAATAATAAAATACCCAAACTTGGCTTTACAACCGCCATAATGCCAGAAATATGCCGGTATAAAGAATATCACGGCAGAGTGACACAGCTCGAACGACCCAAAAAGTTTCTGGTGCCCCCCCCCCCCCCCCACCCCCCTTCCCCACACAGTGGTCCTCCAGTTTCAGTCTAACTGAGTTCGCTTTCCTCAGCAAATAAATGACTCTACAGCAAAAAAGTTAACCGGGTGATGCTGGGGCAGTAGGCACATAGGGTCTCAAACTGGGTTCCTAGGATATTCCCCAAAGAACCCACAGGGGGTCTCCGAGCATGGAAGTTTCATCGACCGCCTTTGCACCTCAGTGTTTCCAGTAGCAGATTTGAGTCGCCCATTACTGCGTAACTATGTGCGAGATAAATCTTCCCTTGTACTCGCATTACGGTTAACAAGGTCCGTGGGCTTCTCAACTGTATCAGTGCGTTGGTGCCAAGACTGGTGGTATCTTAGCTACCGATGAAAGGCGGGTGTTCGTCGGGCAGAAACGTTTTGGACCCCCGCTCCGGCAGACGGCGCAAAAAGGAACCGAGCCCTCACCATGTTGACCTCTGGCACCAGGATGGGGTCGACGTGCGGCTGCTGGGTGGCGGACAGGCACGGCCGGGCGACCACGTGGGGGAGGGTGTGCGGGTGGGAGTCCGACGCCCGGCCGATCCGCAGGAACATTGAGCCGGGGTGGATCACCACTATGGCCGTCGCCTGGATCGGCTGCATAGGGGGCCCCGTGCGCGTCACTCGCGGCATGGGGCGGTTCCCCGGTATTTCCGTCATTCGTTTGTTTATTTTCTGCGCTCCCAAATGGCAGATGCCTCGGTAATGATGCACAAACCGCGAGATCATAAATTAGTCGGAAACAATTTAAACTGTGAAAAACACGAGTCGAAAACGTCAATATCCGGTGCACCGTAGGTGTTGTCCCAGCGTTATGTGCGGGTCATAGGGCTAATCGAGATGAATTGAATAAGAGGGACGTGGACTCGAAATTGCAATTTTTCGGCAAGAGCCATGCTTCCAATTTCTTTGTTTTAGGGTCCCGCAACTAATTGTGCATGCTCTTGCAAAGTTTTATCGCAATGTCAAAAATATATCCGGAGAAAGTTTCAAGTCAAGCGGACAATGTCAAGTCCTACGCTTTGCAAACATGAAACTTTGCGATAAAGAAAGGCGGTGTGCTGTGTTGTCTGTTTGTCTTGGATGTCCCTTTTTCCTTATCGTAAATTAGAAACCAACATGCTCAGCCACCTACATGAAACTTTGATGTTTCCTAATCGCTGCAGCTCTGCACCAACTACACCTCGAATAACGATTGTACTCTCATTGCAAAGAACATTTATTTTTTGACTCCCGTAGATAGAACATCTTTTTTAGGGAGAGAATATTATGCGGAAAAGAACACCGTACCAGTCCAGCTTTTACGTGGTAGAGGCTATGCACACAAACAACAATCGGAAAGCCTATTATGATTGGACAGAAAACCAAAACTAAAACTGATGTAGGTTTATAAAGAGTCACATTTTTTTTGTCTGCTTTGTTTCTCGACGATGCTCCCCCTGCTCAAAAATGCTCATGCTGGTTCGTGTATCACGAGCATATCAAATTCCCGTTTCACAATGTCCACATGCCGACAACGAAACGACACTGGAAATAAGCATCCGAAGCTCGGACTCACTCACCGTAGGTAAGCAGGAGACGAGGTAAAAGTGGAAGGCACCACCTATGCTCTTGGTGCCTTGCACTTGCTACCACCACCAGTAATATCAAGTTGTGTGGACACTTGACATAGGTTCTTCCCCACTTGTAGCAATTGTAGCAATTTTTAGTTTAGGAAATCTATCCTTTTGATGCATTGCCAAATTTATTCTTTGCTGTGGATGTTTCTCAACTCATATTTAATGTGGAATGCAGACAGCTATTTCTTTTTCTATTTAAATGAAGTTCTCATTGCCAAAAAACAAGTTTTCGATTAGCGAAAATTCCCCCAAAATGTAGAATGTTTTTCAAATTGATATTTTATGCTAGAAAAGCACAGATTTCAGCATAAAACATAACTGTTTTTCCCATGTGTTCTATTTGAGGTTAAAGCATAGAAATGCTCAATGTTTTGCAGCAGTTTTATGCGATAGATTTTTTTCTCAAGTGAGGCGACTCTCAATCAACAGCTGTACGCCTCCTTCCGTAGCATGTCAGGATATTGTCCTACAGAGATTAAACTTTGTACGGTGCACTTTGGCAAGATCCATCGACCCTCCAAACTTCATCAATATTGCGCAACTGGTTTAAAAGTTGACATTTCAAGATAGGGTCAATAAAGAAAGGAGAAACTCTCAAAACTCGACTTGGAACGTGATCATGAATAGATGACGTGAGATCAGGGCAATTAATTAATCATAAAGGCATTTACACAAAACTATTTGTTCTCGCTCACATCTTTTAGAACTCAAAGTAGGGCAATTGCATTGTTCCAAAAGTCTTCTATATTCATATTAAACTTCACCCAATATAACAATCATTAAAAAAAACACCTTGTGGACATTTTTTAATATTACTATACCCATTTTCAACTCAAGAACCGTGGTAAAAAAAAGTAAAAGAATGCAGATCATTAATTTTCCATTTTATGCGGATAATGAAGATATATGTAGGTGAATTTTAGGTTAGATATATGTCATCTTATCAAGACATACACGTTCCAAACATCAGAAGCATTGCTTTTTCCTCCAAAAACCCAATCTCGTAAGAACTACTTTACGCCGCATCTGAACAATGTGCAAAACTCACTTTTTTCATGAGGTCAAAACGGGTATAGGCTCGTACGCCCAACACAGTCTGAGACAACAGAGGAAAATTTCAGCTTGGAACGAGCTAACGATAAGTATAATTGTAACATAATATCATTTATCTGTACCTTAAAAGACAAATCAGTGTATAGAACACCAAAATCACGCATGCACTCGACCCTTCGTAACTGAACACTGACAAGCTCAAATAAAAAAGCAAATGTACACGAGGATGTAGTGATCCTCGAGACGAAATAGAAACAAGTAAAAAACTATTTTTTTTTTTCAACAATGCCCGCGTGCATTGACAATAAAGGAATATTGACAAATGTTTATGTTCATTTATAGATGCCCACCAACAGCAACATGCCTTACCACTGGTGCATAACACAGACAAAGAAACACACACACATCAAGAACTAGCATTATACATACAAGGTACCAAACTAAAAAGCAAGTTATAAAAAGTTAGTGTACTGGTGTAGAGTAAAAAAACTAGAGGGGAATATGTCATTACAAATTGGCAACTTTAGGGAAACATTCTAAACTGCTTTCAGGGCTTCCTAATATGACTGTCAGGTACTGTGAAAATATTAATGCTGTAGCAAAAACAGACATATCTACCCTTCTTTATCTGACAATAGACCCTTTCCGAAATTCAGTCTGGCCACTTTGATCGCTATCATCATCTGTGGAAAGGCATCTGTGCCATACCAATGGCAACCTTCTAGCGACTCATAAAGGAAGACGTTGAAGATGCTTCTGACCAGATGATGCAAAACCTGTACATTCAGGGGGTCAGTACGACGCGACGTAGGAATGAAACACAAGAGCTACGTAAGCGTTTATTTCTAATAACTCAGATTCAGTCAATCTGCGGGCGGCACACAATAGGCTTTAAAGCATTTTGGTGTATAGAATTTTCCCGAAGCATCTGAGAGGTTTGGAGCTTTGTTCTGAATCCAGGTTCTTGGTCACCATCAAACTGAAAGTGATTGAAAAAACTCACACTGAAGAATTCCTCGCGTGCCGTTGACTAGCAAAAGTGACGGTGCTGATACAAGTGCATTTCCGCCATTGATATGGCAAAAGCCAAACTGCTTTACGAAGAATCTGGAGTTGGGCAAGTTGGTACATCTTAGATTCGAAAAGCGCCAGAAAACAAGGACAACAGAAGCGCATTGTTTCGTCTATTCCTTCTGTTGTCCTTGTTTTCTGGCGCTTTTCGAATCTAAGATGCTTTACGAACCACCAGATGGCACTGAATTTCGGAAAGGGTCTATAGGCTTAGAGATGTGACCCGAATTTTAGCATAGCACGAAAGTATTCTAATGTTTTATTTGTGCATGGGAATGTGAGCACAGCACTCCAGCCCTAAAAGAAAAGCCTGGAGATTCAGATGGAGCAAACCAATGACAGATTGATAGCAAGGACGTGCGTGCGGGCGTTAGGCCGCAAGCGCTTCGGTTAGGATACAGGTAAACGGAAACACAAGGGCATGTTTAGCTGATAAAAAGACAAAAATAGCAGAAATAGAAGACACCTTTGCACACTGTACGGCAGGCCGGGCATTTTAGTCACTGTTACGTACTGTCTGACAGACTGGCGCTTATCAGTTCGGGGTGCGCGGGCAGACGAACGCCGGGCTCCGAACTGATTAAACCGATTTGACCAGCGGTCTCCTGGGAACCGACTCAATGTAGCATTGGTGACGTGAATGGTGCTGTGTTGTTTAACCAAAAACCTTGCAAGCACACACCTTAGTTCTTCCTTTCCTTTTCTTGGCGGGAGCGATTTTTAGCTCCTGTACTATGCGTTCCGCCTGTCCATTAGTGGCAGGATGGTACGGTGCACTTGTAACCACCAGGATGCCGTTGTTCCGGTAAAACCTTCTAATTTCCTCGGACACCAGCACTGCGCCATTGTCCGACACAACTTTCCTTGGCAGGCCGAATGCTGCAAACATGGCCCGTAGTTCCCTAATGACTTCGGTCGAGGTCATATTGCGGACTACCCGCACTTCGAGCCATTTGGTAAACGCATCCACCACAACCAGGAAGACTTGACCATTGACCGGACCTGCAAAGTCCACGTGAAGGGTGTCCCATGGCTCTGATGGCCTAGTCCAGACAGGGATAGGTTCTTTGGGCGAACACTTTCGGTGCATCTGACAGGTGCTGCATTCTGAAACTGCTGTCTCGATATCAGTGTCTATCCCGGGCCACCAAACGTAGCTCCGAGCGCATGCTTTCATTGCCACAATCCCGCGATGTCCAGAGTGCATCAGGGCCATCGTGTCTTTCCTTAGCTGTGTAGGAATCACGATTCGTGCTCCCCAACTTACACATCCCCCGTGGTTCGACAGCTCTGCCTCTTTGGCTCTGTACGCCGAGTACTCCGGTGTTTGTAACCGATCGAGCGTACCCTCTAGCATGGCTCGGTATACATTCGCTAGGACGCTGTCGGCTGCAGTCTCTCTCGCCACTCGTTCGGCGGACAATGGTGGATGGGACAAAGCTTCAAACATCAGGATATCTCCTGGAACCTCCGGCTCATTTTCAGTGGTTGACAGCAGAAGTCGGCTAAGAGCGTCCGCATTCTGATGGCGTTTTCCTGGTCGGTATCTTAGCTCGTAGTTATAAGCTGCCATTCTGACACACCACCGGGTCATCCTCGGTGACAGGACTTGTGGAACAGGCTTCTCAGCTCCAAGGATGCCTAGCAGAGGCTGGTGGTCTGTGTAGATGATCACACTCCGTCCTGCGATGTTCTGATGGAAATGGTTGACCCCAAACACAATGGCCAGGCCTTCTCGGTCCAGCTGAGAATAGTTTCGCTCGGAGGTTCCTAGCGTCCTGGACGCAAAGGCAATCGGAGCCTCTCGGCCGTCTGAGTCTAACTGTGTCAGCACGGCACCCACACCATATGGTGAAGCATCGCATGACAATAGTAATGGTTTCCTTTCATCATAGTGTGCCAGCACAGTGTACTGCACTACTAGTTGCTTCAATTTCTGGAAAGCCTTACGGTGTCTGTCCTCCCATCGCCATTCTGCCTTCCACACCAGTAGGCTATAGAGCTCTTTCGCTATCGTCACTCTATCTTGCAGAAATCGGTCATAGAATGCTAAGAGTCCCAAGAAAGACTGCAACTCTGCCTTGTTTGTCGGCTCTGGAGCGTCCACCACCGCACGAATCTTGTCTTGTGTGGGATGAATTCCCTCCGGATTGATCAGGTGACCCAGAAATTTGACTTCTCTGACCCCGAAGTAGCATTTGGTTTCTTTTAATCTCAGGAGCGGAAGGGAGAACGGCGATGGGAGGACAGACACCGTACGGCTTTTCAGAAATTGAAGCAACTAGTAGTAAAGTACACTGTGCTGGCACACTATGATGAAAGGAAACCATTGCTGTTGTCATGCGATGCTTCACCATATAGTGTGGGTGCCGTGCTGGCACAGTTGGACTCAGACGAACGCCGGGCTCCGAAATGATTAAACCAATTTTACCAGCGGTCTCCTGGGAACCGACTCGATGTAGCATTGGCGACGAGGCGGACGACAACTTCAACTGGCAACGTTCTCGGTTGTTCAGGAATGACCACGACACGGGGTAAGCTAGAGGAGTTTCAAGGAACAGGATGGACAGCCTGGTCGGAGCGCTTGGATTTCTTCTTCCAAACAAACGAGATCACGGACCCCGGGAAAAAGAGAGCTTTGCTGCTGACCCTGTGTGGCGCGGAAACTTACGAGACCGTAAAAGCCTTAACGGCCCCGAATAAGCCAGGAGAGGTGAGCTTTGAAAACATCATGTCCTTGCTCCAGCAGCATCACGACCCACGGCCTTCGGAACTGTTCAGCCTAAGCAGATTCCAACACCGCAATCAACAGCCCGGCGAGTCAATCGCTACCTATGTGGCTGCTTTGAAGAAATTAGTTACCAACTGCAATTTCGGCGTTTTGACAAGGCCAGCGGTGGCAACAACAAGCGATGGAGCATCAGCAGCCGTCGACCCGTTGGTATCAAATCCAACCATGTTACCACTGGACGTGATGCTCAGAGACCGTTTAGTCTGTGGCGTGCAAGATGAGCGTCTACAGCAAAGGCTTTTCGCAGAAAAAACGCTGACGTTCAAGCAGGCTTACGACATGGCAGCACGACTTGAAAGCGCCGTTCAGCAGCAGCAGGAGCTTAAAGGGAAGCTGAAACACTTCTTGAAAAAAACGAGTTAGAGGTGAATTCTGGCGTATTTTTATCCCGTGAATCTGAATATCACTTTTGTTTTCCCTGAAGATGCAACTAAAAGCGAGAAAAAGCGAAAAAACATTCGACCAGTCGTGACGTCATACTAGGATCTTCGGGCCGCCAAGCGCGTGTCGCTCGTGTGTTCAGCGCGTGCAACGCAAGCTTGCCAGGTATATTTCCCCGCACTGACACCAGTCGTGACGTCTCTTTCTGACCTTTCTGAAAATAGCAAGAGCGCGCGTGCATAGCTTTGACAGGCGCTGAAGATGCGCGAGAGCAGATATTCCGAAGGCTCCTAGTGTGACGTCACGCCCCGGGAAGGAGGGGCTTCGGCGGTACTTTAAAAATTAATTTCTGAAGCCTCCGTGCACCAAATTGAAAAATAATCTTGATATTCCTCATGCTGGAGGTAGAATGAAGGCCATTGAAATGTTTTTTCTCAAATAGAGAACCGCTTCAGTTTCCCTTTAAAGCCCCCCCGGCCGATCAACATAAGATTACATCAGTGCAACCAGCAAAACGCCCCTCGGAGGCGGAAAAAGTGCAAGCGGAGCAGCAATGCTACCGTTGCCATGGAAAGCACAGGCAAGACGCTTGCCCATTCGATAAGGTGTCCTGCCGGTTCTGCAGGAATATAGGACATATTGAGAAAGCATGTCGGAACAAAGCGAGGGCGGGCGCACGACGCTCAACCCATCACATGAGCTACGATGAAGATGACTATGCCGACGATGCACAGGTCAGTGGTTGTGATCAAAACCACCGGTTCGACTTACAGGAATTGAATGTGCAACACGCAAGAGGAATCGTACCCAAGTACCTCGTGACGCTCAAGGTCCAAGGAAGACCATTGGAGTTCGAAGTTGACTCAGGAGCAGCATTCACAGTTATTAGTGAAGAGACATACCGCAAGACCTGGCCATCTAAGCCTCCTCGCTTGC